TTTAATTTTATAAGTTTCATTTGTTCCCATAATGTGTAATGAGAGTGTCCTTTTTGATCAAATTTTCAGGTGGGATAATAGTCACATATTCGAATTCTATGAATCATAATTCATAGACCATAGAGAGGATCTTTAAGCCTAATGGTGGTACAAATGTACATTTATATAAACAGAATAATGTCTTAGCCATACTATTTATTTGATTGAAGTATTTCGAACAATTCATTAATTTTTCGCAGGTTGGTTTGTATAGATATCCCTGTCGTAACTCCACATATATTCCTCCCTCTTACCCACCCCCAAAAAAAAAAGGAAAGACAGAGAAAAGTGGGGAAATTGAACATCTGAGAAATTCTTGTTTCAACATTGCTTTGAATTCAGATCTACAAAGAAGAGTTTTATGTATATCTCGTGTGAACAATCAGCCCGCCCCCCCCAAAAGAAAATGAAGGTTGTTAAGACTCAAAATTGTTTCATCGCGGGATTTTTATGTACAGCTTCTTCGGCTCACTTGAATACGATATAATGTAGAGGGTGAGAACAAGTTGAATGAAATGGAGCATTTCTAGGTATATTCTCTGTGATCATAAGATATCTATAGAATTAAAAGGTAAATTCTACTGAGCTGATTAGATTGGCTATACTATAATTGACATGGGTAAAGAATTTCTTTTCATCAAGTACTATAATTGACCAAACGGCCTAGAGGTATAGTCATGTAACCAATCTTTTAATTTACAGGAAATACGGCATACTTTATTGCTGTGTTCTATTTGTTGAATGTGTTTATAAGTGTATTTTCTTAAGTTATATTTTCTTGACCTTAATAATTTAGAATGTTAGTATTATGTATGGATCATAAGTTCGTTGAATGGTATTTTCAGTTATTTTATCTGTCATACTTAAGTAAAAATAAGTTGTTTTGATAGTAATCCTCTCTAGGTCAAAAAAAGCAATAATTAGAGGGACAGTGACTTTAATACACACGAGTTTGTCTATTTGTACAACACTTTTACAACCTCTCATAAGGGGGTGGGGCACTTTTACAACCTCTCAGAAGGCTCCATCCCCTTACGAGAGGTTGTAAAAGTGTTACACCAAAGTACTTGTCGACAAAGTTTCATTGAAATTATAGTTGAAGATTGTGGCAGTGTCTGGAATTCTTTACCAATCCGAGATAGTGAAATTATTCCAGCAAAAAGGTTTAGCACAATAGAATGTATTGTTAGTTGGTTATGATTTCTATTTTTCTCTTTTGAGAGGTCAACCTTTTTT